CCGGGTTCATCTGATTCAATATTTCTGTAACTTGACCTTTCCCTGAACTTTGCAGGATTTAATTTTTTATAACTTCAGCAAAAGTCTCTGCTGACAACCATGGTATTAAAAACAAGGGTACAAAAGTATGTTTGTGGCTGATGTGCAATCTAAAATGTGTAAACAAGGCACAGAGGGGAACAATAGTGGACATTTGTAACCCTTTAGGCTGTGTTCACACCTGGGCGTTACTATAGGCGCGTCTTTTCAGCTCGTTATTTAGTTCAGTGAAACGCACGTTTGACGCTCGTTTTTATACCTCCCTGGCGGTATGATGTATTTTTTTCTCTACCTTTGGGTTTTTGTTTCTTTTAACTTTCAAACTTCCCGCCGGTTCGGCCCCACTGCGATGCAGACGCTCGCAAGGGACGGAAGATGGCAGCGGCCGGAGGACATAGCGGGGATCGTGGACAAGGTAAGACCTGTACGCTGTATTCCCGAGTGTGGTTCGGGGTTACTGCTTTGTTAACCCCGAGCCACACTCGGGAACACCAATGGATATGCGCTGCAATCGGCTCCTACGCACGAAAAAGACGCTAAAGTACTTTTTCGCACATAGGGTGTTTTTCAGCGCAACAAATCGCGCTGAAATACGCCCAGGTGGGAACCATGCCCATAGGGATTGATTGGATTTCACGTCTTGAGCGTTTTTCAGCGCTGAAAAACGCCCAGGTGTGAACACAGCCTTATACCAGGACTGCCAGCTGTACTCTGATACATTTTGGAATATGAAGTGAACAATGTGAACACTAATCAAGCACAATAAAGAATGTGATTTATTCAGTCAAAAATCCACTTTACAGGTTATCATTTTTGCAAACTTTACAGCAAAACTAATATATACAGTAAATAAATATATTCCAGATCACAAAGGACACTTACTGACCACAAAGCTTTAGTTTGCAGACTGTTAATACATTCCAGATCACAAAGGACACTTTGAATGGAAAGCTTTCAGTTTGCAAAACCGAGACAAAAACACAAAGAAAACCAGCACAAAAAAAAAAAAAACTTCCTTGCAACATATGATGCACATTGGAGAAACTTCCTGTTGTGTTATGTTCCAATACATAAATTAAACTGGACTGACAGCTAAGGTTTTCTTTGGTGTGACAGGTTTGCATAAAAACAGTTACAGTGTTGTCTTAACATGGTCATAGTCTAATGAACTCTGTGAAACTCGAAGAACAAGATCCACATTAAAAAGAAACTGAAAATCAAAGTTATTTAAAAAAAAAAATGCTAAATAAAATACTTTCGTCAACAGATTCTGTATACTTTCCTGTGTATCATAATATCCAACTTTAATATGTGCAAATGGATATTCTTTTGGACTGAAAATATTTTGTACTTAAACAAAAAGTTGTTAAAGGTTGAACACCCTCACACATTCAGTGAACACCTGGTATATGAACTGATAAAAATACTAGACGTTTACTAAATGGCCGCCGTGCCACGCCAGCGAACTACCGTGTTTTCACAGCAGCGGGGAAGCCACTCGGCACAGTGGCAGTACAGGACCCAAAAGATTGCTATAAAGCACTGTAGTTTTACAGTAAAAAGATATACTTACACTTGACTGTGCTGGATGGATGTATATTTTATTTATACCTACAGTTCAGCTTCAATATTCAACAACTTCAGGCTCTACCCCCTGCACCTCATTATTACTTAGGCTCCCTCTATGGCCCATAACTATGATTGGTCACCTGGCACTATAGAAATTGGGTACTGACTGCATATCTGGAAGAGGGTGGCATGCAGACACCTTCAGCTGAGCAAGTACATGTTAAGAACATTACTGCAACCACAGGCTTAGGTATAGAAAGGACCACAGGGTCCTGAACAATGTTTAGTTGACCATTAAAGAACTCCATGAAATGTATTTTGTAGATGTTGGAGATATACTGTAAGTGTTGCACTTACATCCTTGAGGTCTTTCAACATTTTAAAAATGTTGCCCCACCACAGTGCTCCTGCTTCCCGGCACTTGACATGAACACCCCCCTCACTTATACAATACATGAAGTTTCTTTTTGTGTTTTTTAAAGTGTCACACCGGATCATCTTACAAAAAACAAAATATTTGTACTACTTACTGGCTGCCATGGTACAAATCAGCATTTCTCAGGCACTTTTGTAGACCTACTTACAGCAGCTATGGCACTTGTCCTTGTGTACAAAATGCATTATACTATTATATACATTTTACATTTGTATATCTTCTAGGCATCCCTTATACATGAAAAGGAAGCCACTCAACTGGCTGCATCAATGCTGAAATTGCTGTCTTTACTGACATTTCCCTCTTTGCAGAGCTGCTACGTCTTGAAAAAACTCAAGAAATGGTTCTTGCTGCTAATCAGGTTTCCCTTAAGTGACACTGAACTCAGCAGTTAAATCTTAGAAATGCATTCAAATAACTTAACTATTAACAAAAATGTATCTTATGGTGTGTATCACTCGGCTGTAGATCCTCAAATCATCTCTAAATTCATGGTGACACTGTCCTTCCTTCTGGAGTGGGGGTTACATGTGCTCCCCATGGTCCCTGTGTGTGTTGTAAAGTATACACCGCTCCAAGCTCACTCCTGTGATGGACTACAATCTAAATATAAATTGGTAAACTAAATGTGAGATTGTAGTCCATCACGGGAATGAGCTTGGAGCAGTGGCTACTTTACAACACACACAGGGACCATGGGGAGCACATGTAACCCCCACTCCAGAAGGAAGGACAGTGTCACCATGAATTTAGAGATGATTTGAGGATCTACAGCTGAGTGATACACAAATAAGATAAATTTTTGTTAAACGTTAAAAATGCATTCACGTACCATTAGCTATTAACTCCTGCGTTTAGTGTCACTTTCAAGAGCTAAAGAGATATTGATGCTGACTAGAGGACCTTAGAATACTTTCCATTTAGCTTCCTCAAATGTAATTGAAGAAGTACAAAGGATTTTGTTTTTCTATCAAAAGGGACTACACATATTTTAGGAGTTAGCTTCGTAAATATTTAAGCCTAAAGAACTATTTTCTAGCCTAAAGACTACAACCCCCTCACTGCTAACATAGCTAATTCAAATTACTGCTTATTCGGTCTTATTTCAAACAAGAACTCAGGAAATAATTAGAAAACTATGTGAGATCATTACAATTATTGCCTTTAGGGTATCTAAATATGGCCTTCTGTCTACATGAATTGCACTTTTTGCACTCTATAGCCCAACCAAATGCCATATACCCCCACATTTTAACATGTGTAATACATGTTTTGAAGAATGCATGTTTTCAACAATTGTTCATATCATAGATACATTTCCCATGTATCTATGATAACCAATAAAAGCTAATATTCTATGCATGGCAATGGAGCTTGACCAAATGATTAAATATTATGTGCTGTGAATATAAACAAAACGACAGCCTCTGATGTAATATATATATATATATATATATATATAATAATCCCTTTTTCATATAAGTGGAAAACATCCATTATTGGCCACATTCAACTTGAGAGTTCAGAAGCAGAAATCAATTAAAAACATATCTAGCCATTTATTAACTAGTTAAAAAATTAACTTTTTAACATAAAGGATACCCCAAGTTTATGTGACTTCAGGTTTTCCACTTAGAGCTTTTGTATCCAAACCATTTTTTGTTTCATACAAATGGCAGAAATATATGAAATTTATATGTTGTTATATGGCCAACATATTATACATACTTTAGTTGTTTAAATTCTGTGATTGCGCGCGGGTATAGACTGACTGTATATACATACCCACGAAAATGTTATATTTATAAATAAAGTGCAGCTTTTACAGTGAAGTCTATTAGATGTTTTATCTAAAAAAGGAAAACTTGCCTCTTCAAGATATTGTTTAAAGTAGCATTAAACATTACCAAAATGAAATCAAGGGTTCCAATATTTACACTTTTTTCACTTCTAATCTGTGTATTGCAACAACACTTTGTTTATAAAAACCCACAACAGTGTATTATAGCACACATCAATAAACACATTTAGATTCAGTGATCTATAGGTTGGTAGCGCCAAGTTCTAGGTATGAATACACACCAATATACAGAGTTAAAAGCCAGTTCGGCAACAAATATCTATTTCATGAGGCTGCACAAAAAAAAACTGATTTCTTCATCTGTCTCTCTTTTATTTATAATAGAGTCTCAGCACCAGTCTAAACTCCCCTGCCCCAGACAGCAGGTTGGAGAAAAAGACCCTGCTATCTGTGCAGAAGCAGCTGTCTCTCTACAGTGTTCCAAAACACCCCTGCCAAGTCAGAGCTACAATTTTGCAATCAGCAGGGAGCATCACGGACTTCTGCAGAGAGACTGCTGCTTACAGATAGCAGCCGTCCCTCTCTGCAACCTGCACCGGGGGGAAAAGTGTTTGGACTGGTGCTGGAACTCTTTTATAAATAAAATAATCATGAAACATTTAAAAAAAAAAAAAAAAATCTGTTTTTATTAGGGATGCACCGAAATGTCATCTGCCAAAACTTTGCACCTGAAAATGGTCAAAATGCTGATGGAAAAAAAAACAGCCTAAAATGCATAGTAGGCCATAGTAACTTATATACTATCTCCACAGTTTATGAATGGACAGGAGCAGCTCACTATAGAGGCTTTGTGTTCATTCATAACAGGGGCTGCAGAAAAAGATTTAGGACTATTGTGTTCTAAATCTCTTTTTCCATAACCAAAACCCCTAACCGTAAAGTAAAAAAGAAATAAAATAATTAAAAAGTAATTTTAACAAATTTCATATCGGTGCATCACTAGTTTTAATTTGAAACAAATGTTACCAAAAGCTTAAATGGTAATTAACAAAGAAACTGGTAACTATGGGGCAGATGTACTAAAGCAGACATTTCTATAACTTTGCTAAGTGAATGTGTTCACTAGATCACATGTTCCTATTTTTTTTATATATCTCTTATGTAAACTTGAACGCTTGTAGTAACTAGTTGACAAATATCAAAACCAGCCAAGTATCCAAAGTGTAATAGTGCCGACAGTGCCTGTACTGAGATGTATATAGATATATATACCTAGCATTTTTATATTTAATTTAGAAAGCAAATTCTGGCTGTTTCAATCTGTAAACTTTAATATCCAATGCATTCTGCAGATTATAAATACATATATAAATAAAATGTGGTTCACAGTGCTAGGACCATGGGAAGTGCACCACCTTTGTAGATGCCAACATCTAGATATACCGTTTATGCTTTTTCTTGCTATTTATTCTATTAAATATTTGTGTGAGGTTTTTTTTTGTCCTTTGCTGATGTTTTCAGTGTATAACCAACATACTTCTCAATATGAACAGAGTAACCATATTAATGTCCCACATCTATGTGAGGAGTGGATGGGCTGTCTCCTGAAGAATTGTCCTCGACGAAGCCATTGTCAGCTGACTGGACATGGCCAGTATTTCCTGGTCCACTATGCTTCTGGCTATCAGTGGTATCGGCAGTTGATTCAGCACTAGGAGCTTCACCCACCACTGACTGTGGTGATCTTAATGAACCATTTTCATTTTCCTGAGACAGGTGGAAAGTAAAGCGTTAAATCTAAATATTTTTCCGCTATGTCCTGAAAACAGGATATGCCATCTGAACATGCAACTTGCATGCAAGAAGTCAGACATAAAAGTGATCCATGAAAATGTTTCACAAAAATGACATCATAAAATAAATTCAAAGTTGCATGCTTGTAATGAATATACTTCCGGGAAATAATACGAATATCTCTTTATCTTTTGATATGATACCCCAGTGTCTTCTTCAGGAACTTAGTAAAAGGACGGATCCTCCTAAAACTCATTTCTCTTGTGGAAAGATGATGGTGGGTTAGGAAGGAACGCACCCAGAAATAGTGAGACCCTTCTTACTGCAGCATGAAGCCTGAGACTCCACCACTTCAGATGTAAGAAGTCAGGGGCTATTCGGCTTTCAGCGACTATGCAAAGCCAAAATATTTTTTGGGGTGGACTGAACCTGCATCAGTACTACAGAAAGACACCACAAACAGCCTCCACAGAAACTGCTGACAGAAATGTGATAATACTGCAAGGAGCTCTCATTACATTGCTGTGTAGCCATTAACAAGAAACAATAAAAGCTCGGGGCTGACTAAACAGCCATTAAACTGGTGGGGGCAGCAATCCATCAGCCAGCAGTGTGTGATACTTATTTAGAGGCTTGAAATGATTTTCAAATTCATTATTTGAACCCATGCCATCAATATGAACAGGTATTAATAAACATAAAATGGCAACTGCACTGTGGATCATCTTGGTATTAGATGCACCATATACGTTTGCTACACATGGACTATCACACAAACATTACAGTGACAGTCTCAGTCCCAGATTTTGACTTATAAAGGATGAACTCAATGAAGTAGTCATACAAGGCCAGCATTACCTTACCTTTAGTTCTTGTTTCCTAACTGTCATCCCACAAGCAGCAATGGAAAAAATACTTAATGCACATCACTACACATGAATCCAAATGTAACACATTATAAAAAGAACACAAATAAGATTTCATATACTGTGAATATTTCATTGGCAATTTTTAAGTAAAAGTGAATGTATTTTCCTTATCTGTAACAATCCTTACCACTAATAAATGTGGCTTAACTTGTACATTCTGACTTCTAATGGCATGTTAGCCATTGTTGGTATGCAGACCCTAAACTGCAAACCCAATTATGGTAACACATCCTATGGGAGGTAGGGACAGCATCATAATAATGTGGCAGCAATTGTGTTACTACAGCTCGGAGTCTGCACCGATGGGGACATCAGCACCTCTCTTTTGCCCCACTCTTTCAACCAGGTGCAACTCTTCCCCAACATCCGGTTTTAGAACTCTGTGATGCACTGACCATCCCATGAGTATTTGCATGGGTTTTTTTTGTTTATCATCATTATTATGATTATAACAATGTCATTTTTTTAAATAAACTTTATTGCTGTCATTAAAATGGAAATAGACATGAAGGTGGTGAGGCAGATATTTTTCTTTTATAATAAATTGCTCTAGATGACCATTTTACCATGGTATTATATGAACCCTTTATAGAAAACAAGGCTCTTTTAGATCATTAACTGTTATTTATGAATCAATAGGAAACAGGTCTAAATCTCCAGTGGTCTCTATAGAGTTGGCAACAGTGCTGCATGACTATTGCCATAGGTAGTCATCATGTCTTTTGTTGTGTCCTCCTCAAAGATTTTGTATTAAACAGATAAAGCCTTAGCCCACCTCTATCTGACGTAATAAAATACCACAATCAGTAAATTCAGGTACTTTATATTATATAATACTCTGAACTATCTTCTGTGGCCTTTCTGCATATACTGCTCTGTTACAGCCATGTTACAGAGGATGTATGTTTCTGTGAAGACATAGATTTAAATGAAACGAAAAATTGAAATCTCCACTTAGTCCTGTGTGCGTGAGAAATGGGTTTCATGAATGTTTTTTTGAATAGCTACTTTTATTGAACCACCTGAGGCTTTACACTTGGTTATGTAGTCATTACCTGGAGTGGCTGGTTTTCCGAGACCCGGTTGGTTTTGGAAAGAGACACCATTTCCTTTATCTGATAAAAGGCATAAGCAAGAGTGACCCATGGCGAGGAACTTATTCCCCAGGCTGGTCTGTTAACATCTTCCTGCTCTTCCTGATGTTTTGTCTTCTTAGGTGGCAGTTTGACCTGAATAGTAGGCATAATGTTCTCTGAGTGCTGTGGCATCAGGTCGATAGTTGCTATGGGAACTGGGCTGGAGGGAACAGGGATTCTTTCTGCCAGCATTGATGCATCTGCAGTAAAACAATGTCGTCAGTATAAATGGCACAGATTTAAGCACTGTATAAAGAGAGACAAAAAACATTTTACACACCATATGAAGATATATAGGTGAATACACAAGTGCATGATCATATGCATGTGGTATGCACTTGGTCAGAATCTCTAGATTCCAAAACACTTAGAATTTTACTTTTAGTGTTATGAGAAACAAAACATTGACAGGACAGTGAACTTTCCTGATTTGCCCAAGATGATTTACATTAAAAAGCAATGATTTGAGGTAATACATAGCAGCAAATACTCAAAGCTGGATGTGACAAATTGACCTTTGCAGTAATATTTAGTAGAACCTCCAGCTGACATAACATTGCTGCAGGTAGGACCCTGGCCTATTGATCTTTATAAAGTGTTACATTTTCTGATGCAATGGAAATAGTCTATAAAAGCTTAGCTCTGGTTCTGGTAACTATTAAGAGGTTTATGTAATCAGGCAATGCAAGGAGCCATTATGATGTGAAATCTGCAGTAATCTAAAGCAACTAATCATATGAACATGTTTGGCTGGTATGGATTACTGAACGTAAAGAAATATCAATTGTATCTTTCTTCTGTAACCACTAACGCATTTGCCTTCAATATAAAGTAGATGATATAGGCAGATATGTTTGAAGTCTAGCATGGGTGCCAACCATAGCTCACTCCATAAATATAGTGGAGGAGTGAGCATAGTCACCTAGTATACTACACACATTTACAAAAAATATAAGTTACAAAACAGTTCTTTATGTTTCTTGTGTAATCTGAATATATAAACACTTAGAAAGTAAGCTTCGGAAATATGGAATTTCACTTTAAATATGGAACAAGTGTGTGGTGTTATACTACCATTCTATTATAGGGATAAATATTGAGGCAAACCTACATCGGAAAGCCAACAAACTGTTTTTTTTAAGTCACCAGTAGATGGCAGTAAGTCTTTTCTGAATCCATTTCATAAAAATGCCTTTTCTTTCTGCTATTCTGAAAATATGCAGTTTTTTATGAGGACTGGCTACCTTTAGTAATATTGCTTATGGTAAAATAACTTTTTATTACATAACAGGGAATGGATTGTCATGAGCTCTGGATTATCAAATGTAAAAGTAAAAATAACACTTGTGGTCAGTTTTTACTGCTATTCAGGGCTCCATTACAGAGACTTCCTCTTACTTCCTGTCCTGCTGACAGGAAGTGAAGGGAACTCTCCAACAGCAGCTCACTGGCTGTTACTTCTGGTAAACCTGTTGTCAGCAAGACAGGAAGAGAGGACACATTTATCCCAGATAGCATGAAAAACCCAACAGTAATTTGAACCCTTCTCTTAATCCACAACTAGTTTAACATACACATTAATAAATTATAAATGGCCAAAACATAGCCACTAGCCTGCTGACTCGACTGTAAAGTGACTAGAATTGTTTTGTGCTTCACCCATGGTTTGCTTTAATGCCGGCCCCTGTAGCTGCTTATAGTTACCTTCCCCTCAAGCCCCCATTTCTCTATTCACCCGTGGGAACAAGGAGAATCAGAAAGTCAATCCCACTAGAAGGTTACATCAGGCTGAATATTCTTTCCCCCCACCTTTGTGTAGCAGGGCCGGGTGTCTGAGCAGGAGATTGCCAGCCTTGTAATGGTGGAGGAAGGACAGAGCCACAAGCTCCACATACCCAAAAACAGGGGCGTGGTTAAGAGGGGGGGGGGGGGGGCATATTTTTACAACACAAACCACTGTTTACCCTTTTTGTTCTTTTTTTAATATGACATTTCGTTCATTTCAAACCACAACAGAGCTGCATTGTGGAGGCAGATGGAAATCTTCAGGGGAGTTCTGGTGTGAAGAAATGCAGACATGCTGCATTTTTATTTACCTGCCTGCACCCCTACCTCCATTGTGGTGTGAACTGGGTATAAAGAAAACCATTGTTCTATGTGCCCTTGTGGAGACCTGTGATGGTCAAGTGCAGAAAAACTCAGGTCTTTGGGCATATTTTGTGGGTACAAGGACTGTGCCATAACTTACTGAGTAACACCCATAATTTGGCATGACACGCTCAATGTTCTCCCCTGTGGGTGCCCAAGACTAAACCACCCCCATGAAAAAAATATAAATATATCGTCCCAGCCCCTGAACTACAGGTATTAATTTTTTTGCCCCCAGACAAAAAGCGTAGCGGGAGAGTACAGGGAATGCAAGTGCGAGCAGCTATAGGGGCTCTGGATTAAAGTGAACTTCCTGTTGTGCCCTGATTGGGAAAACACAAAGTCAATTTACAGACAGCAGTGCTTTTTTAACATAGCTCTATTTTAGTCCAGGGCATGTACCGTACAGAAGGAGTGGTCAATAGACTGCTAAATTAACTTGCCTCTGCAAATATTGACATAATGTAATCTAATAACTATGAAGATAAAAGGCTTTGGGCCATGTTATTTAAGTGGTGAATGATTTGTTTTCCAGTCATTTACTGCTGTCACATTTACAAAGAACATTAGCCATCTGCATTTGCTGCATTGGGTATCTTCACCGGATATCTACATTTCCATTTCTTCAATAGCATGTTTGGGGTCTTCGATATGGCACATGTTTATTCACCATCACTGATTCTTTATTGGTTCCAGAAGAAGACCCACTAACTCATCATCATCATCACACACAAATGTGCAGAGCCAATTCCACAAGGAAATGTGCCTGGATTCAACCTCTTTTAATGAAGGGAGCCCTTTGTCTAAATGAAGACCCGGCCAGTATAAATACCTATAAAATAAATAACTTTTCTTATATGCTGGCTGTAAAGCAAAAACAATTCACTCACCCAAATGCTGAATTAACATGGTTAACCCTTCAGAGAAGTTATATATGTAGTAAAATAGGGTTTATTACCCCATTACTTTATTTTACCCTACCTGTTTAAATGCATTCTATGTATGCTACATTTTGTTTAAAAATACATTATATTTATACAATACATATGTATACAATACAAGTTTAATAACACAATACATACCTTCTTTCTTTTGAGGCAGTCCAACCCACTGGATCAAAGCAAAGAGCAGAAGAATTACTAGAGATGCCATCCCGATCCCTCTGAATGTTTCTGCCGCACCTGAAGTATCAGAAGATACACCGGTTAGCATGGGGGGAGGATGGGGGTTACTACATAGGATCTCCTAGGGTCAGCGATTCTGAATAGGCTCCTCAAAGTTGCAGGCAAAGAATGGCATATTTTTTGTACCCATTTTAACACCTTCTTGCCAAGGTAACACATATATGCAGTGTCAAAGAGGTGGACTTTCTTCTCTGGTGCCACATATCTGCAGCATGATTTTTGTGGTGGGAACGCGCTCGATCACACCCCCCACCCCACATGGAGACGGAGCTGACCCTCAGCTCCTGGTCTTGGACTTACATTGCCTATCTGGTTTTAGAACCAGAATATAAGAGGACCTGTCATGTAAATTTGCTATCCCATAGGGGGCTTCTTAGCCCCCCATGTAATAGCAATAAAGTTGTGTGTGTGTAAAAAAAAAAAAGTATTAAAAAAATACAAAAATGAAAGATTGATTAAAAAAAATAAAGAAGCATAACATTTATGTTTTTAAACATTTTTTTTAAGTCCGCGCCCCCCACATACACACGCATATATGCGTCAGGTGCGCCTACGTGCCGCTCATGTTGCATATCGCCGCAAACGAAGTGAGAGCAATAATTTTAGAGCCATTAAGGCCGGTTCACACCTGGCCGTTTTACAGCGCTGATCGACGTGCTGTAAAACGCCCTGCAAGTGAAATCCCATTATTTCCTATGGGCATGGTTCTCACTTGGGCGTATTTCAGCGTGTTCGAACATGCTGAAAAACGCCCTATGCCCAAAGAAGTACAGGAGCTTCTTTGGGGCGTATTTCCGCGCGTATCCATTAGGATACAGCTGGATAGCCCTCGTAAACGCGCGTTTGACGCGCGTTTTGTGGGCCACAAATCGCGGTTAAAACATGCACCGCAAAACGCACGTCATACACGCATATTTTGAACGCCTAGGTGGGAACCCAGCCTAAAGAAGAACTATGAGGTGAGTGCTTTTCACTCATCCTCATAGTTCTAGCCGACCTGTGACAATGAGACTGACAATTAGACACATAGCGTCACTCTCTCACTTCTCGATCCTGTCACGGCACAGAGGCGTGAAAGGGGAGGGGCTGGATTCCCCCCTCCCCGCTCTGATCCTCCAGCGCTGACTGGCGGAACGGATGGGGGAGGGGGCAGGTACAGCTGGCTCTGCCTCTAGATAGGCAGAGCCAGCTGTCACTCACGCAGCTGGGCGGATCCAGACATAATTGTCGGGATCCGCTTCAGCTGCGGCGTCTCAGTATACCGCGAGCTGCAGCTCGCGGTATACTGAGCTTAGGGTGACGGGAGGACGCTAGTTTGTGTCCTGCCGTTACCCTAAGGAAAACTATGGGGAAAAGCCCTAACCCCATAGTTCTCCTTTAATCACTGATAACACTAAATTGATGAACAGAAAAAGCGTTTTAATCGTCGCCTACGGGCGTTTTTTGCGGGCGCACACAATTTTAAGGCTTGACATGTTTGGTGTCTATTTACCCGACGTGACCCTGACTTTTATGTTTTACTAAAAATATGGGTAAGAATAAATGTTTTATAACATAACGTAGGGAAACTTTTTTGTTTTTTTTTACATTTATGGTACTTTTTT